GGTGACAGAAGAAGGAGTCTGAGGCCAGCCTAAGATAAATAGTTCTAAGATAGCCTGGGCAACATAACAAGACCACACATCAGAACAACAAATCCATTTGATAAACATAACCTACCTAGCATCACTATTTAGCCAGAGTATAACTATAGTGTCAATGTTTATACTCATAATCATGTGGCGAAGTAGGAACCCAGAAATAAACTCCCACAACTACAGCTACATCTAATCACGGATATGTCTTACATACATACATACACACACACACACACACACACACACACACACACACACACACACAATGGGGGAGGGGAGCATCTTCAACAAAGAGTATGGAAAACCTATATTTTCATAAGAAAAATAATAATAATAAAATCTATCTCACATGACTAAAATTAATTTAAAATGAATCAAAGACCTTAAGTGGGACCTTAAACTTTGAAATCATTAGAAGATATGAGGAAAAGACTTCAAGGTATAGGAATAGAGAAAGGCTTTCTGAAAAGGACTCCAACAGTAGCAAAAGTAACTCCAACAATGGACAAATGGAATTGGATGAAACTAAAACATCTGTACATAGCAAAGGAAGAACCAGCATACTGAAAAGACAGCATATGGGATGGAAGAAAAACCTTTGCCAACTACACATCTCACAAAAGAGCAATACTTAGATTCTACAGAAAATTCAAAAGACTAACCATTCAAAAACCAAATCATCCAATGAACAAATGGAAAGACAAATTAAAGACATTTTTCAACAAAAGAAATATAGGGGCTACAGAGATAGTATTGCTTGGCAGCTAAGAGCACTTGCTTTTCTTCTAGAGGATCCAGAATCGATTCCAGTATCCATGTGACTGGCAGCTTAGAAAAGGATCTGTGATTGATATATTGTGCACTCCAATAAACTTATTTGAGGGTCAGAGAACAGAATAGCCACTATATTGAATGTAGAAGTTAGGCAGTGGTAGCACAAGCCTTTAATCCTAGCATTCCAGAGGCAGAGATCCATCCAGATCTCCGTGAGTTCAAGGCCACACTGGAAACAGCCAAGCATGGTAACACACACCTTTAATCCCAGCACTTGAGATCACACTTCTTGCTTGGAAAAGACACACATCTTTAATCCCAGGAAGTGATGACAGGAAGCAGAAAGGTATATAAGACATGAGGACCAAGAACCAGAGGCTTTTTAAGCTTTTAGGCTTTTAGCAGCAGTTCAGCTGAGAGCCATTCGGGTGAGGACTCACAAGCTTTCAGTCTGAGGATTTGTGGAAACAGGATCAGATGAGGAGTTGTCGAGGTGAGGTTAGCTGTGGCTTGTTCTGTCTCTCTGATCTTTCAGAATTCACCCCAATACCTGGCTCCTGAGTTTTTATTAATAAGCCCATTTAAGATTCGTGTTACAGGATCCAATGTCTTCTGGCTTCCTCGTGCACCATTCAAGCATGTGGTATATAGATATACATGCAACCAAAAAAGAAATACAAATGGACACAGCATATTAAAAATATATATATGGCCACACGGTGGTGGCACATGTCTTTAATCCCAGCAGAGGCAGGCAGATCTCTGTGAGTTTGAGGCCAGCCTGGTCTACAGTGTGAGTAGCAGGTCAGCCAGGGCTATAAAGAAAAACCCTGTCTCAGACGTGGCGCACGCCTTTAATCCCAGCACTCGGGAGGCAGAGCCAGGTGGATCTCTGTGAGTTCGAGGCCAGCCTGGGCTACGAAGTGAGTCCCAGGAAAGGCGCAAAGCTACACAGAGAAACCCTGTCTTGAAAAAAAAAAAAAAAAAAGAAAAACCCTGTCTCAAAAATCCAAAGGGAAAAAAATTCAACATCCTTAGTCACCATGAAAATGTAAGTTAAGATTGCTTCTAAAGTCTGTTTCATCACAGTCAAACTGGCTATTATCAAGAAAACAAATGACAGCAAGTACTGTTGGAGATGTAGGGAAAAGGAATCCTTACACACTTGTAGATGAGAATGAAACCTTGTGCAGCCACTATGTAGATCAATAGAGATGTTCCTCTAAAACAAAAACAAAAATAGGCCAGGCATGGGTGATCACTCCTTTAATCGCAGCACTTGGGAAACAGAGGCAGGCAGACCTTTGTGAGTTCAAAGCTTGTGTGGTGTAGTCTACATACACAATTCTAGGCCAGCCAGAGCTACACAGTGAGATAGAATCACAATAAATAAATAAATGGATGAATGAATGAATAAATAAATAAATAAATAGATAAATAAATAAATAAGCAGAGCTGCCCTATGATCCAGGCATACCATCCCTTGGGATATACATACCCAAAACAAATCAAAGCAAGCATACCAAAGAGATACTTAAACAACCATGCTTATTACGGTACTGTTCACAATAGTCAAGATGTGGAAGTAACCTAGATCCAACAACAGATAAGCACACAAAGAAAATGTGGTGCATATACCCAATGGGGTTTGATTCAGCCTGGACAGATGAGATCATTTTAAGAAAAAAATGTCCTTGTAAAATATTAAGGTATTATACTCCCTTTGGCAACTCCCTTGTTTTGTTTCATCTTTCCTCCTTTTCTTTATGAGGCAATCATAGTGGGTTCTACAACCATTCCGAAGTGTTCGATATACCCACACATGTGGTAGTTTAAATGAGAGGTTCCTCATAAATATCAAGCATTTGAATACATGGTGCCCAGTTGGTGGCTGTTATGGAGGACTAGGATGTGTACACTGGCTGGAGGAAGTATGTCACTGTGGATAAGCTTTAAGGACTCAAAAGACTCAAGCCATTTCAAATTAGCTCCCTCCGTTTTCCTGGTTGTGACTGTGAGCTCTCAGCTTCTGCTGCTATGCCTTCATTCTGTCACTCTAACCCTCTGGATCAGTAAGCCCAGTTAAACTTTCTTCTGAAAACCGCTTGATCACAATGTCTCATTGCAGAAATAGAAAAGTTAATACAATGCACATTTATTATATTGTCTTAGAAAATACAACTATGTAAATGCATATATCTTTATGTATAAATAGACAATACATAGTATAAAAGACATCTGAGAATGAGAAAACCTTCAATTCAGGACAATTGTTACTAGCATAGGAACTTCACAGCTCAGCATAGAGCTCTGGGACAGTGTGTAAGGTGAGGTTGCACTAGAAAGGCTTTAGTTGACTGAGCATGATGGTTTACACCTGTACTACCAGCAATCAACAGGCTGAGGATCCCAAATTCAAGGTCAGTCTGGCTATATGACAAGGCCCAACCAAAAAAAGAAGGAAGAAAGAAAACTTCAGTCTAGATAGCCTCAAATCTTTTGGTAATATTTTTTTTCCCTAACTTAGGTGGTAGCAACTAGTTCAGCATATTATTTTGCAGAGTTTTTGCTGTTGTTTTTTAAGAAACTATAGCTGGGCATGGTGGTGCAGAGGCCAGCAAATTTCTGTGAGTTCAAAGCCAGCCTGGCCTATAAATCAAGGTCCAGGCCAGCCAGACCTACACAATGAGATCCTGTCTCAACAAATCAAAAAGAAAGAAAAGATAAGTTAACTTTCATTTTATTTTTAATTCTACAATGTAAAGATATGTTGCTATAAACTGAGAGAGACCACCATGAGGGTAGGGTCTCCATGACAAGTATTACTGGACTAACAGAAGAAATGGCACTCTCAACCCCCCACTTACTCTCCCCGTCTCATTCTCTCCTCTTGCTTTCTCGCTCACTCTGACTTCTCTCTTCCTCTCCCCTCTTCTTCCTCCTCTTTCCCTCTATCTTCCTCTTTCTTACCCTCCTCTCCCCATCTACACCTCTATAGCTCCTCCTCCCTTCCCTCTCCCATGTACTTTCAGTGAAGGACAAAAGCAACTAACTGCAAGGCAAAAAGGAAGTCCACACCAAACTCAGCCAGGCTAGAACTGTGAGCTTGAACTCCTCAACCTTTACATTTCTGAGAGTTTAAACTTTGTGTAAACATTTACTCAAAGATAGTATATTGTGGAGTAAATTAGTATTAATGTCTCCTCCTTTTTCTACTTAGTAACAGGTCTAGAAAGCAAATTTTTTAATCACTGGCAGACCTTTAGGCTGTTTACAGCTTTATACTCTACCAAGAAAATATTATACTGTACCTTTTTTAGGATTGACTTTTATTTTATATGTATGAATATTTTCCCTGCATGTATGCATGCATACAATCCAAGTATGTGGTACACATAAAGGTCAGAAGAGGGAATGAGGTCCCCCGCAACTGGAGTTATAGATGAGTACAAAACACCATATGGGTGCTTGGAACTGAACTGGGGTCCTCTTTAAGCAAGTGCTCTTAACCTCTGAGTCATACATCTTTCCAACCAAGTTTTTAACCTTTAAATGTGGACTGTACTTTTCTGAATAATGTGATGAACTTATTGTTCTTGCATGATATAGACACATTGCCCCAGCACAAATTACTTAGTACATCTTTTTCCCACCACAATGACTAAGATGACACCATCATCAAAGACTGAATCCCCTTAACTTGCAAGTCTGTCCTACTGAACATTTATCCTTTTCATCTCTTTTCAATAAGAAGAATAAGGTAAAAGATAAGACATTGTTAATTATTACTATTGGATAATAGCTGCATCATGACTGTTCACAATATGCAATATATATTTTTCTAAGAATGTCCCAAAACTAATTACTTTAGACACTAGGCTCCAGTATCTATGATAGGTTCTGAGTTTCACAACAAAATAACCCTAACTCATCACTTGGAGACACAAAATCCTCTTGAGAATCAATAACACACAGATCCAGAAATTAACTCCGATCTCCTTTGATCCATGAGATTCTATTCCATCTGGAGCTTATCAACTGTAGAGCATGCCACCATTACAGAACAAAGTATGTCTTAGTCTAAAGTCACATGACCACTGGTACAGAACCAACAGCATCAATCCCCTGTGGATTAAAGCAGCCTTCAAACACTAATAACCCAAGACAGAAGTCAAGAGGAACAAAGTGGTTACCAGGGAGGAATTCTGCCTGCAGAGAGCTTGCCCTTCTGCCCTTCACACAAGAGTCTGTTCGCAACTGAAACTGGATTCTTGATTCCTACAAAATAAAATTGGCATAAAAAGAAATCAGAAATGTCTTCACATTTCTACACTTTGTTTTCTGCTGTTTCAACTAAGACAACTTTAAAATACCTTGGAAATTCTTTACAGACACCAAATGTACTAGTACAAATTTAACATGAATACATGTTGTTTATGACAGCAGTTCTCAATCGGTGGGTCATAAACCCTTTGGGGGTTAAATGACCCTTTCACAAGGGTTACCTAAGACCATCTGCATATTAGATATTTACATTAAGATTCATTAACAGTAGCAAAATTACAGTTATGAAGAAGCAAAAAAAAAATGTTATGATTGGGGGTCACCACAACAGGAGGAACTGTATTAAAGAGTCACAGCATTAGGAAGGTTGAGAACCACTGGCTTTGGGGAACTCTGACCTGAGACTGTAAGCGTTTCAATTTTTAAACAAAGACGTAATATGTTATACATCTAACATATATTCAGGCAAGAACTGTACACCATGGGCAGAAAAACAGCCACGGTCCTTTCCTGATAGGAAGAGAGCCCAGGCAGTAAAGGTAAATACAAGTATGTCCCATCCATCTACCTACTCACCCCAGAACATGGAACACCAAATAGTGTGTGGAAAATGTGAGCACACCTGTAATCCCAGCACTTGGTATACAGAGACAGGAGGATTACCACATGTATGAGGGTAACCTAGGATATATAATAAGTTACAGGCCAACCTGGCCTATGGAGTAAGACTTTGCCTCACAAAACAAGAGTCATGACAGAATTGGAACTAGAAAAACAATTAACTTTACATCCTCTTTCATAACTCATGTCCCTTACCTGCATTCAATCCTTCCATACCTCTTATATTTAGCCTTTCTGGTTCCCTTTTCTTCATGTTATATACATGTACATATATACATCTATTATTGGCTAGATTCCATATATGGAAGAGAACATATTTTTTTTGTTTCTGACATTTTGTGACCTCACTTAATACTATATATTCTATGTCCATCTATTTTTCTGCAATTTTTAACTTGATTTTTCTTTAGAGCTGAGTGATATTTTACCATATATACATATGTGTATATATTAAATTGTTATCTATTCATCTGTTGAAAAACAACTAGGTTAACTCCAATTCTTTGCTATAGAGAATAAAGCAATAATAAACATGGGAATGTAAATATCTCTGTGGTTGAGTGTGGATTTCTCTGAGTGTATCCCAGAAGAGAACTAGCTGGGTAATATGGTAGTTCTATTTTTAATTTTTGGGAACTATCCACACAGATTTTCACATGGCTGTATTAGTTTGCACCCCCACCGTGATTACGGGTGTCTTTCTCTCCACATCTTCTCCAACATTTGCTGTAATATTTTTTGACAATAGTCATGTTGATTGTGGTGAGGTGCTCTCAAAGCAGTTTAATTTTGCATTTCCCTGATGACTAGGGATATTGAACATTTAATTACTGGGCATTTGTATTTGTTTTTTGAAAACTATATCTTTGGTTCATTTGCTCATTTACTGATTGTCAATTTTATTTCCTTGGTATTTAAATTCTTCAGTTCTTTGTATATTCTGGACATTAGTCCAGTGTCAACATGAAGCTGGTAAAGACTTTTTAACCATTCTGCCAATGGTAAACACCTTTAATCCCAGCACTCGGGATGCGGCGGCAGCAGCAGGCAGATCTCTGTGAGTTCAAGGCTAGCCTGGTCTATAGAGTGAGTTCCAGGACAGCCAGGGCTACACTGAGAAACCCTATCTCAGAAAAACAAAAAGAAAAAAACAAGGAGAAAAGACAAAGAAGAAGAGAAAGAAGGGTGAGGAAGAAGAAAAAGAAACAGTATCATTCTGTGGACTATTAACTCTGTTGAGTGTTTCCTCTGATGTCAGCACAAAAACCAAGAATGGAGTCCTGTGAGGAGAATTCTGAGTGCTTGTTAGAAAACAAGACAAAAGTCTTGTGTGGTAGTTTGAAAGAAAATGGCCCCCAAAGGGATAGGTACTATTAGGAGGTATGGCCTTGTTGGAATAGGTGTGGTCTTGCTGGAGGAAGTGAGTCAGTGTAGAGGCGGGTTTTGAGGTCTCACATATGCTCAAGTCATGCCCAATGTTTCAGACGTCTTCCTGGTGCCTGCAAGTCAAGATGTATTAACTCTCAGCTCCTTCAGCAACACCATGACTGCCTGCATGCTGCCATGTCCCACCATGAGGCTAACAGACTAAATCTCTTGAACTGTAAGCCAGCCCCAATTAAATATTTTCCTTTATAAGAGTTGCCATGGTTTTATGTCTCTTCACAGCAACAGAAACCCTAACTAAGACAGTCTTACAACCTCGGTTTCTTCAAAAACACAGAATTGTTCTTGGAATGTGCCTTCATGCTATTGAGACAGCCCAAGGGCAGCAGATAGGAGTGAGTTTGTTTTAGATTGATTATTCATTACAACTGGCTATTGTTATTTGTTTATATGCCTCTATGGAAAAACATATTTTTGTCACATGCGGCTTGTCCTTGTGACTGTATACTTTACGCATGGAATTCTTAACCCTGAGAGTATAAATTGTCTGAGGCTCTGAATAAAGTTGGCTATTGCATGAGACTTTAGTCTGCCTCATTTTAGGCTGCATTCTCCTAGGTCCCACCACCTTTAAAGTGGTAAACACTTAGCTGTGTAGAAACTACCCCCCCAAGTATCAAGTGTTGGAACTGCATGAAAATAAAAACATTTCTGCACAGGAGAGGTGGAGCAATCCATATCTAGGAAACTCCCAGAGAAAGCTAATCCTTGTGCAGGAACCTAACCCAGCAGGAAAAACATTCTGGAGCTATTTATTTTCATATACATAAAGATTTGCAATGCTCTTCCTAAATTATATCAGCTGCAAAATATAACTTAGGAGCTAGCTCAGCTTGTATCATGTTTGCCACACTAGCACAAGGACCTGAACTCAATCTCGACAACCCACATTTTTAAAATGACTGCCATGGTAATGCTGGGGAAGCCAAGGCAGGCAGATCCTCAGGGTTCCATGGCCAACCAGCCTAGTATACTCTGCAAGTTCCAAGCCAATAAAAGACCTTGTCTCAAAAAGAAGGTAGAGGATGCCTGGGAAATGTAACACGAATCTTAAAAGGTCTTATAATTAGAAATAACCCAGAGCCAGATATTAGGATAAATTCTGAAAGATCAGAGAAGAAGAACAAGCCACAGCTAACCTCACTTCACCAACTTTTTAACCAATCCTATTTCCTCAGACTGAATGTCTCTGAGTTCTCATCTGAATGAATCTCAGCTGAACTGCTGCTAAAAGCCTAAAAGCTTAAAAGCCTCTAGTTCCTGGTCCTCATGCCTTATATACCTTTCTGATTCCTGCCATTACTTCCTGGGATTAAAGGCATGTGTCTTTTCAAAGTATAAAACATGAGATCTCAAGTCCTGGGATTAAAGGTGTGTGTCACCATGCCTGGCTCTGTTTCCAGTGTGGGCTTGAACTCATAGAGATCCGGATGGATTTTTGTCTCTGGAATGCTAGGATTAAAGGTGTGTGCTACCACTGCCTAACCTCTATGTTTAATATAGTGGCTGTTCTGTTCTCTGACCCTCAAATAAGTTTATTGGGGTACACAATATAACAACCACAGGGAAATGTTACCCAAGTTTGGGCTCTGGGTTCTATATATGCACACACAAATTCACATATAAGTGTACCAACACATGTATGAACATGGAAACATGCACTCACATGCATTCACATGCACAGAAAAATAATAAAGGGGTAGGGTAAATCATATTCATCCCAACAAAAAAGATATAGTAACTGATGATATATTTATTCTATCTTATTTCATAGTTTTGCATGTTGTAAAATTTTCACTTTTGTATTTGAAATTGTTTTTGTTTTAGCATTCATCGGGCATCACAGGCTTCACTGCTGTTCTTTCTCTGCACCTATCTATGACATTTTCATACCTCTAACTCATATATTTTTCCTCTTTGTCCTATTTTATTCCCTCTTTTTCCCTTAGTTCATTTCCTTCCTCTTTATGATTCTCTATTATTATCTTCTCTGAGATTTATTACAATTGTCAAAACTACAAAAACAAAGAAAAATATTAAGAGCCATTGTAAGAGAAAGCACCAACTCACCTACAAAGATAAACACATAGAAATGCTGGATCTCTTAACAATTCTAAGTGTCAAGAATTCAAGGAATGATATGCATCAAGCCCTGAAATCAAAAAACTGCCAACCAAGAATGCCAAGTCTACATATTGAGCTCTAAGCCAGCTATAGCTACTTAATGAGACTCTCAGAGGAAAAAAAATAGCATTTTAGAATAATTCCCAACAAAATGATTTCTGTAATATACAAACCCTTTCAAATATAGAAAACAATACCTGGTCTGGAGTATGCGGACAACTATGACAGAATAATCAGCCATTTCTCATGAACTTCACCTAACTTGCCAATAAAATTTTATAAGGAAAGGAGTATCTTTTCAATAAAGGGCAATAAGCCATTTCAAACCCCCACCAAAAATAACACACACAAAAGTTAGTCTGAACTTGGAAAAAAAAAAAAAAAACACCTAAATGCTCAGGGCAAAAACAATTTAAAAAAAAAATACAATAAAATAAGGGAGATTGGCTTCATAACTTTGGATAAGTACAACTTCTTAAAAAAAACAAGAACTAGCCTGTTTGTTTGTTTGTTTGTTTACAGAAAGAAAGAAAAAGGTAAGGGTTGGAGAGATAGTTCAGCAGGTAAGAGCACTGGCTGCTCTTTCTGAGGACCTGGATTCCATCCCAGCATCTATATAGCTCGTAACCATCTTTAATTCCAGTCTCAGGGTATCTAATGCCCTCTTCTGGTCGCTGAGGCACTGCACACAAGTAGGGCACAGACATACATGCAGGCAGTCAAAACACTACATACGTAAAATGAAAAGTTAAAAAAGTTGAACCTTAAATGCATTATAATAGAAAACTTGTTCACTCAAAGACAGCATTAAGAGAACGAAAAAAGAAGTAACATCCTGGAAGGAAATATCCATCATATATGCATCTGAAAAGGGGTTTTTAATTAAATATACAGAATATATCTACAAAGCAATAAAAAATAACCAATAAAAATGTTAAGAAGTTATAAATGAAAACTTTACAACAAGGATTTCTAAAGGTTGTATATGTAGAAGAAAAGGCATTTAGTATTCATAGGAAAACTCAAAACAATACATTCACAGAAATATTAAAATGGCTTTTTAATTAAAATTATTGAATAATAATAAGCAATATTTTTAAAAAACAAAGATGTAGCAAGGCTTTCAAAAAAGATTTTTCTATCACTTGGCAAAAAGCCAAGGAAATGTCCTACTTGTTCTTTGTATGACCAAACTCTACTACCTGCAGGAAGTAACCCAAAGGGTACTCAAAGATATTTGGCAAACAGATATGTTTCATTTTGCAGAATTTGGAAAATTAAAATATGTACACCATAGCATGGATACGTAGTCAGGATTTCAATGGGCAACAGCTTTGGTTTCTGAAAAGCTGATTCTGTAATTTTTTTTAAGATTTATTTATTTATTATGTATACAGTATTCTGCCTGCATGTATGCCTGCAAGCCAGAAGAGGGCACCAGATCTCATTATAGATGGTTGTGAGCCACTATGTGGTTGCTGGGAATTGAACTCAGGACCTCTGGAAGAGTAGTCAATGATCTTAACCTCTGAGTCATCTCTCCAGCACGATTCTGTAATTACACATTTATTAAAAGTTATGGCCATCATGGGGATACCTGTACAAATTAAGACTGACAATGCTCCAGCATATGTCTCTAGTAAAATGAAACAGTTCTTTGCATACTGTAACATAAAGCATATTACAAGTATATCACACAATTCTACAGGGCAAGCAGTTATAGAAAGATCTAATCACACTCTAAAAGATATGCTTAACAGAAAGAGGTCATAAAAAACCCCAGAGATGGATTGCACAATGCTTTACTAACTTTAAAATTTGTAAATGCTAATAAAAAAGGAACAACAGCTGCAGAGAGACACTGAATAATAGAAAAAAATGCGGAATTAAATCAGCCTATATACTTTTAAGGATGTTGTTGATCTAAGAATGAAAACCAGGATATGCGTTATGTTGGGAAAGATGTTTTGCTTTTGTTTCCACAAAAGAAGAAAAGCTGTGGATACTATCAAAATTGATAAAGATTAGATTCGAACAGAAGAGACCTCTTGATTAGAAGAGGCAATAGTTCATTAAACAATGTGACCATTCAATCTAACGTATAATACTAACAAATGCCTTCCATTTGATCAGATATAACCTGCCAAAAAGGAAACCCCCCCCCCCCAAAGTTAAGGTAGGGGCAGGGTTTTATTTTTGACTTTCCAGGAGAATAAAAGCATCCAACTAAGGAATCTGAAGATCACTGGACAAATGAGACATCTAAAGAAAAAGGACAAATCATCCACAGAAAGTGTCCCAAGGGGTTGGGGATTTAGTTCAGTGGTAGAGTGCTTGCCTAGCAAGTGCAAGGCCCTGGGTTCGGTCCTCAGCTCCAAAAAAGAAAAAAGAAAGTGCCCCAAGAAAAAGAATAAATTGGCCTAATGGTATAGCACATTTGCAACAGGATAAAATTTCAGACCGGGCAGTGATGGTGCACGCCTTTAATCCCAGCACTCGGGAGGCAGAGGCAGGCGGATCTCTGTAAATTCGAGGCCAGCCTGGGCTATAGAGTGAGTTCCAAGAAAGGCTCCAAAGCTACACAGAGAAACACTGTCTCGAAAAAACCAAAAAAAAAAAAAAAAAGACAGCCACAAGACTCTGATTTAAACCGAAAAACTTCCAGCAATGGTCAGAGTGCTGCAAACCTAAAATTCTAACAGTGAAAGGCTACTGCAGGGGTATCAAGAAATTAATCCAGCCTGGGTGCGAAGCTCAAGGGCAGCCTGAGCTATATAATTAGACTGCTTTAAACAAAGGAAGAACAGGAAAGAGAGAAGGAAGAGAGGGAGAGGGGGAAAAAAGAAAAGGAGGGAACTGTGTTTCATTAAATATATGTGTGTGGGCCAATGAGATGGCTCAGCAGGAAAACACGCTTGTTATACAAAGCTGAGGACCTGATTTATTTCTTGGTTAATAACCAGGGGGAGAAGAGGGATAGAAAGGAGAGTTTTCTGGAATTGAAAGTAAATTTTATTTATATCTCCTAAATGTATTAATGTTAATATAAATATATTTCAAATTGCAAAGTTAATAGAATATTCTGAACTAGTGTTAAGTGTCCATAATCTCTTTTAGGACTAGAGAAGAGGAGTGTACTTCTAACCAAACTTGGCCATAGACTTCTCTGTTTAACTCTGTTATGTTTGCTTTTTTGTTGTTGTTGTTGTTTTTCAGTGTCAGAATTCAGAGTGAGGACCTTGTTCACAGTAGGAAAATAATCTACCAACTAAGCTACATTCCTAGTATTGGAGGCTTTCTTTAAAACTGTTTATACCTAAGATTTTATGCTCTTAATTTAGTAAAGGAGGAATAATAATTGTTTCAGCATTCTTCTAAACAAAAATGATTAAAAATATGGGAATAGCCGGGCGGTGGTGGCGCACGCCTTTAATCCCAGCACTCGGGAAGCAGAGCCAGGCGGATCTCTGTGAGTTCGAGGCCAGCCTGGACTACCAAGTGAGTCCCAGGAAAGACGCAAAGCTACACAGAGAAACCCTGTCTCAAAAAAAAAAAACAAAACAAAACAAAACAAAAAAAATATGGGAATAAGTCTTCAGAAGGTATGGAATGGTAACAGACTCAGTTTTTCAAATAAGAGGACTATATCATAATGCCACATACCACTCAGTGCTCCAACTGCTCCAAAATTTAAGGATTTTCCATCCATTATGCTGGCATCACACTCAATTTCTCCTAAGAGATTTAGATTAGATCCCATTCCTGCATTTGTAAAAGGAGAATCCTAAAAAACAAAAAATGAATTTAAATAATATTAGTCGTAAAAAAAAGAATTAATGTCAATCCTTCATAAACCCTCTAAAACCTAGAAGGTAAGAGAACACTTTCTAAGACTCATGCAATATCAGTACTTCTCTGATGACAAAGGACAAAAATATTATGAGAAAATTAGAGGCCAATATACTTTATACTTTATAGATGCTAACATCAAAATCATCAAAGAAACAAAAGCAAACCAAGTCCAGCAGAATATGAACAAGTGTTTATATCATGAACAAGAAGGATGGCAGGAAGGTAAGGCTGGTTTAATATCTGAAAAAAAAAATCAAAATACCCCATGTTAATAAAATAATCATGTCAAGAGACATTAGGGAAAAAGTACTTAACAAACTACAACACTCTTTCATGAGAACAAAACAAAAAACAAACAAAAAACACTAAGAAAGCTAGAAACAGAAAACAACATCCTTGCCATGATAAAGGAAATCTACAAAAAGTCCAAAGCTAACACTGAAAAATGGGGAAAAGGGGAAAGACTGAATAATTTTCCCTGAAGTCCAAACACAACAGGAATATCCATTCTCGCTACTTCTTATTCAAAAACATGTAAGACAATTGTAGCAAGACAAGTAGGCGAGGAAAAGAAATAAAGAGCAACTAAATTTTTAAGAAAGAATCAAGTAACATATCTTTTTTTAAAAAAAAAAAAATGAAAAGAAAACATGATCTTTTTAGCATGAGTTACCTGTACAAAACAATGGGTTGTTAGGGCATGTAGCTGGAGCTACATGAGACCGTGTCTCCAAAGGGTGAGAAAATGTTAAAATAGGGCCATAATGAAAATAAGTTTAGGGAATCTGGAGTGGTGACTCAGTGGTTAAGAACACTTGTTCCTCTTGCAGAATACTCAGGTTAGATGCCTAGCACTAACATGGTGGTTCGCGACTATTAACCCCAGTCATAGGAAAGGAGGGAGCCTCAGTTGAGAAAATGTCACCATAAGATAGGGCTGTAGACAAGCCTTTAGGCATTTTCTTAACTAGTAATTAATGGGGGGAGAGCCCAGCCTGTTGTAGGTGGCGCCATTCCGGAGTAGCTGGTCCTGGGAGAAAGCAGGATAACCAAGCTATAGGGACCAAGTCAGTGAGTAGCACCCTTCTGTGGTCTCTGCATCAGCTCCTGCCTCCAAGTACCTGTCATGTTTGAGTTCCTGTCCTGACTTCCTTCAGTGATGAACAGATAAGGAAGTACAAGCCAAATAACCCCTTTCCTCCCCAAGTTGCTTTGGTCATGGTGTTTCATCACAGCAATAGTAACCCTATCTAAGACAAACTTAACTAAGACAGTATGCATCACCACACTCAGCTTACATCTTAATTTTTGTTATTAATTCGTCCCACAGAGCATAAGCCCTTTTGTCTTTTTAAGTGTTGTATCCCAGAGTCTAAAGCAATGTTTCATTCACACATGGTAAATATTTATAGAATGACTAAATAGCAGTTGATCATAACCAGGTAAAGTAGAATAATAATTATTGTGAACTATCACCCCGTAAGCCAGCTAGACACTAATTCTTATGTGACATTCCTACAGAGAAATTCCAGGAAAAAAAAAAAAAAGACTTCAACTAGCAATGTCCCTTTGAAGGAAAGGAAGAAAGAAGTGGCAAGCCAGGCTCTACTCTACCACCATGACAGAGCAGCTTTTCCTGCAGCAAAAGCAGGCAGCATCCAGCCAAGGCAAAAAGCTGCAACACTACTTTTTCACTCGAAACTAAAAGCTGCACTACCCACTACTTAGTCTTTTGATAAAAGCACAAAATAAAGAGTTTGCCCAGCTACGGGGTTTACTGTACCTTGAGGGATTTATTATGTAACCTCTATAAACAACTCTTACAGATACAATTAAGTTTTCAAATATATGAAAACCAAACTAGTACAATATAAAATTATTTTATATAAAATGGTCCTATCTGTCCAATCACCAATATTCCTGTTAAAGTATGTCAAATGTCCATTGATAGATCACTAATACATTAGTGTTCACACTCTATCTCAAGTGTAAATTCAAAAAGCACAGTTTAAAATTAATGAAACATGGGGGAATATATAATTTTTACCCATACATAATTAAGTATTCCATTGAAATTCTTCTAATTACTGCCTCCATTGACAGCCAAGTAGTTTTATTCATCTTAAAGTAACAAGTGGGACACAGTCTTAAAACAAACATTCATGAATCTTTCTAAGAGTAATAGGGTATGTAAATATAGCTCAGTGGCATAGAATTTACCTAGTGTGTGTGCATGACCCTGAATTTGATCCCAGGATAGAAAAAAAAAGTAATAAAAATAGGGTGTATTTTCCATCATAGCTTTTTTCAAATTAAAATGAGAAAAATGCAGTCTCAGACGAGCCTGTGCTACATAATCAGAACCCATCCCAAGAGAGGGGGCAGGGGGACGGACAAAAACTTAAAAAAAAATATGCAGTATGCCTATCTTAGCCAAGACTGTTCCAAGAATTATTAACTCTCTAGTATTTCCTTATTGGTTCATGGTTCATCCTACAGGATGAACGGTGGCTAATGAAACTGAGTCACTGACAAAAAAAAATACCAACACACACACACACACACACACACACACACACACACACACACACACACGGACACGGACACGGACATATTTAACAACCACTTAAGCTCAAATTTCCAAGAACTAAATAATTGAAAGCTTCCCTATTTAAATTCCTTTGTAGTAGTATAGGTTAGGATTCATTCATTCAACAAATATTTATTGGATACCTACTGCCAGGCAGTTTTTTTCCTGTAAAGGGCCAGATATATTAAATGATTCAGACTTGTGGACCACACAATGCTTCAGCTACTCAACTCTGCCACTGAGGTACAAAAGCAGCCAGAAAAATACACAAATAAGTGAGCATGGCTTCGTCCCAAAGAAGTTGCATTTTGTACCCTGAAATTTGAATCTCATATAATTTTCTAGTATCATGAAATATCAGTATCCTTTTGATTTCGTTTCAATCATCTTAAAAACTAAAAACCATTACAAGTTTACAGACCATCAAAAATAGGGAGAAAGCTCATTTGGCTTTTTGACCCAAGTTTGCTAAATAGTGAGATAAATCATAGGGTTTATAGCAATACACAAAACAGAATATATTCTTCCCAACAAGTAGCCTCAATTCCAGCTATAGGAGGCAGATGCCTTCAGTAGCAGAGCATACGCTTAACACTGTCAAGGCACTGTGTTCCATATCCAGTACCAAGAAAGAGAAGAAGTTGGCAGAGCAAGGAACGGAATGAAATACAGATGTCCTCTGGTATCTGAAGAGGATAAGTTTCAGAACACCCCCACCACACTAAACCCTTATATAAAGTGGCATTGAGACTGAAGATGTAGTTCAGTGGTAAAATATTTGCCTAGCATGCATGAGGTCTTGGGTTCAATCCCCAGTATCACCTAGTATTATTAAGAAAAAGAAAAAGCTTATGAACCTTGAATAACACATATTTGTTAGACTTGTTGGCTCCTGCTTGAAATACTCAGAAGGCTGAGATAGGAGGGACACACATATTCAAAGCCAGACTGAGAGGGCTGGAGAAAAAGCTCAGCAATTAAGAGAAATTGATGCTCTTGCAGAGGACCTGGGTTGAGTTCCTAGCACCCAAGTTAAGATTCTGATCAAGGTGCAACTTTATTTTTCTCCAGGAGGGTTCCTGCAGGGTGGGCGGAGCAAGAAGCTGTCATCTGCATAAGGTGGGGCAAGCTAACAGGATGTTTGTATAGGATGTTTACAGGGTGAAAGGGTCAAGGGCTCTGACTCAATGCCCTGTTGCTAGGCAACCTGACTGTAAGATGATCTAGTTCCCTGTCTGGGGGGGGGGGGGGGGGGGTGTCTGTATTTTTCCACTAATTAGAGATTCTGTCCTTGTCCCTGACAACCATCTTCTAGCCTCCGAGGGCACCAGTCATGCACATGTGCACATGCAGGCAAATACTCAAACACTTTAAATATATATATAGAAAAGAGGAAGAAAAAAGTCAAGACTGGGTTACACAGTGAACTTTCTCAAAAATAATGTCAAGCATAATGGCCCAGGCCTACAATCTTAGCACTTAGGAAGGTGAGGCAGAAAAATCTCCATGAGTTCAAAGCCAATTTGGCTACATAACTAATATAATATAGTTGTTACAGTGTACCATTTAAGGAATGACAAGAAAAGCTACACTTAGTTAGTACACATGCAAATTTTAGTTGGAATGTTTTTGATCTGCAACTACAAAGATTCAGAAATCATGGCTATGTAGACTAACAATAAATTGGATGGCATATTAGACAATAGTGAATATAAAACTACAAATCCAAATAGAAGATAGGTCATGGTCAGAAAGCTAAACAGGAGAGACAAGCAAACCACAAAGGTGTCCATAGCTTAGTTTTTATTTTGTTTCTTCTGACTTATTTCAGACTTAAATTTACAATATAATCCAATATCCAAGAGCCGGCAAGATGGCTCAGCGGGTAAAGATGTCTGACATCATGTCTGACAACCAGAGTTCAATCACTGGATCCACAGGGTGTAAGGAGAGAACTGTCTCCCACAAGCAGTCCTCTGACCTATAGATGCCATGGCACATGTGTCCCAACACACAAAATAAAGAAAAAGGTAATTTAAATTTTTAAGTAATCTAATAACCAGAATATATACAGCTCTTCCACAACTGTGAATGATCAGAAAAGAAAAATTTTAAATGGGTAAAAGACATGAAGTGACATCAACAGGTATTTTTCCCCAGAAACATACAAATGGCCTACAAACACATAAAAATAGGCTGAATATCATTTCTATAGGGAAATAAAGAAATAATGATAAGGTACTGTAGTAGTTTGAATATAATTAGTCCCCATAAGCTCATAGAAAGTGGATTAGGAGGTGTGGCTTTGTTGGAGGAAGTGTGTCACTGTGGAGGTGGCCTTT